TGTATGATATAGTGATCATCTGGAATAGGAAAAATATAAGTAACCCCACATAATTCAGCAAATAGTATAACTAAGTCTGTACTCTTGTAGGCAGAGTGTCAGACTTGTTGATGCTAGCAGTCTTTTCTCTTTCTACACAGTTTCTATGCTGAATGAGAATAATTCTAAGCTACTTTAAAAACATATAAATGATCATAATTTCATCAATGTTTATCTATGAAAATCAGTTTAAGCAAAAGCAATGGGAGAAGGTTGGCTATATGGGATATGAGAATACTAAATTGTGCTAGAATATCTTGCATTTACAAAACATTATTCTATAAAAGAGTTGCGCCACTTCCTCTTTCCTACTAACCTATATCTGATAAGAACACTCAGGTACACTTTCCTGTAGGGCCAGCAGGAGGTTCAGAAGATGCAAACCCTAACCTATATGGAATAGTCATTCTTGATTTATCCTTTTATTTTAACAAAAGCCAAGTCTCCTATCTCTCTCTCCATCTCTCTTTCTTTCTCTGTCTCTCCCCCATCTTTCCCTTCTTTAAAATGATTTTAAATTATAGGTGACAATCAATATTATTTTACATTAGTTTCATTTGTATACATACATTCTTGAATCTGCTTGAGAGCCTTCCCATAAGCCTCATTATGTGAGTAACAAACATTTTCATGCTCTCCTGGTGCCTGGGTCATCATTCTTGGCATCCAGAAGAAATTTTAGGTGTAGGATCCACCCTGTGTCTGTGGAGTGATCACAACAAATGACCATGTGAGGAGGACCTAAAGGTACTGTCCATACTACAATTTCTTATCTTGCTTTGGCCTTCTAACTGACTGCTTTATGCTGGTAGGCATACATTTTTGAGCCATTGCCTGGTGGCAAGCTTGTGCTTGCAACTGCTATTCTTTGTACTGCATTAGTGAGACTTACCAAGCATCAATTAAAGATTTGACCCTTATAAGTCAGTTTTAAAAAATTACCATAGAGTGACATGAAGCATCCTGAAAGTAGTCCTCAATCTTGTGTCAAAACCTGGAACTATTTGTTAGTCTCAGATTGAATCATGTGTCTAGTTCCAAAATAAGATGTGACTGACACTGTGCCTAAGGGAATGACTTTTACCTTGTGAACATTTATGTTTTCTTAAGCAGATGTTTGTCCCCTTTCTATATAGAGTTTGGTTGGATAGTCTGTTCAATATACAAGTCCACTGGGTAGTCAGTCTCTCATGGAGAAATGCAGTTACTATAAGGAATGCTAATGTCACACACTTGAAAGCAGAAGTCTCACTGGGGTCTTGCAAAAGACTCACTGGGACCTTGCAAAATGTTACTCTCTCTCTCTCTCTCTCTCTCTCTCTCTCTCTCTCTCTCATCTTACACACACACACACACACACACACACACAGATGATTCTGACTCTCAGGTTTCTAGAGAGAAACATCCATGGCACCCCTGTGCCAATACCAGGGGATTAATTCACCACTGTAATCGAATGCTCCATAACATTGATGGTAATGACTTGTTTTGAGGTTCTGCAGAAGAAAAATACATAAATATGAAGATGATAGTGTAGAAAACTAGTAAAGTGTATCCAGTAAAAATATGTACCCCACATGCAACCTGGGAAAGTTGCCTGAAAGAGCCAAATGTTGGAGGGAAGTGTGATAATTCATGTTTTTATTGAAACATAGAAATGGGAATATAGTTCTTTGGGGTTTTAAATAAGATATCCAAAATAGTAGGCAATGTGCTGGATTATTCACAATAGCCAAGGTAAGTAATGCAAGTATTTATTAATAGATGAATGGATAAAGAAGATGTTATGCACATACACATACATAACCTCACACTGGGTCATAAAACCTATGTGTGAATTATTAAAAAATAAAAAAGTCAAACTCATTGCAACACAGAGGACACAGAGTGGAAAAGTGTTTTCCAGGAGCTGAGGGGTGCAGGAAAAGGAACAGCTTGGTAAAGGGTGCAAACCTTCACTTATAACATCAATAACATCTGATTATTTAATGTAAAAAACAAACAAAAAAATTAAGGTTGTCTAAAACAAGAACTCTAGAATACTTTACAACCACGCATATCCCAATGAAGCATGACATGATGACTAACTAAAATTCAATATGATATCCTGGAAGGGATCCTGGGGCAGAAAAAGCACATTAAGCAAAAATGATAGAAATCATAATAAAATTAAGACCTCAATACTGTAGAACCTCACTTCTTGAATTTAATTTGTTTCAAAAGGCTGTTTTAGAAGTGATTTGTTCAAAAAACAAATCATCCATAGCCAATTCGACTCAGTGGACTCAAGGTTCCCAGGTTTGTTTCTTGTCAAAGGTACATGCCTGGGTTGTGGACTTGATCCCCAGAAGGGGCAGTGTAGAAGACAGCCAATCGATGATTGTCTGGCATCGCTGATGTTTCTATCTCCCTCTCACTGTGCCTTCCTCTTTTGAAATTATTCTATATGTATTGAAGTCTAAGCGACCTTTAAGATTGAAGAATCAGAATGTCTGGAAAGACTGGAATGAAGGAACTTTATGAAGTTCACTGACCACCAGGAGGCAGACCCTCAATGCACGGGCTGCCCCCTGGTGGTCAGTGCACTCCCACAGACAATCTTCACTGGCCTGCTAATCTCCCACAATTCCTCCCCACAGCTGGCAGGCTTCAATCACCTGATGGGGGCAGGACCCCTGGCTGAGACAGGGAACTGAGGATGGGTTGTGGAGGACGTGGCCCCTCTCCCAGGAATCCAAATGTTGGCTCCCTCCTTGGGGCTGGCAGCCAACCTCCCGATCCTGGTCCCAAATCCCGACCAGCAGTCCAAATAGGCCTGCCACGTGTCTTTTGAGGTGACAGCTCAACAGTAAGGGAAGGAGGAGGTGGGTAGGCAGGGAACCATTGATGGTGGGGCACTATCAGTGGCGTAGGCATATGTTCCTTCCACGTCTGGCTCAGCCACTATCACTTTCTTTCCTTACTGCACCAGGGCCTTCTGGCCCCAGGCTGAGAAGGGAAAATTTAGGTGGGTGGCAATGGACACATCCATTGGCCAGCTCCATTCCCAGGACTGGTGGCTAAGCTCCCATGCCACATCCCTCCTCCAGGCCCTCCCCTGACCATCAAACCCAGATATGCCAGGCCACAATTGGCCCTGATTGCAAGCCAGGCCTAGGGAAACCACCCATGTACTGGTTTCATGCAGCAGGCAGCTAGTCAGAATATAAAAGGAGAAATCCAAATAATTTCCCTAGTTATATATAAATGTAAATTGAATGAATCAATCCCAGACACACAAATAACTCCGTTTTAACTTTTTTTTATATATATGTAGTACACATTTAAAGTACTGTTTAATCTAAAAAGAAATGCTTATTTTCTTAAATTTATGGAACCACCCCCTGAGAGCCTTACATGAATCACATTTAGCACTGCTTTCAGGGGTATCCTTCAAAAGGTCAGAAGGCACCATGTTCACCTTTTAACATACCATTGCTTCCTAAATGCTATCACAGGCTAACAGCTTTTCATTTATCCAAATCAGCAACAATTTTTCTAAGCGTCCAATTGTTTGATATTGTTGTTTTGTGAGCACTTTCACAAACTTGGCTAAATTAGCATTCTTGATGGCTTCCTTATGTTTTAAAATTGTGTTAACCATTGAGGTTGCCAGCAACAAAATATTCTTTTCTTTGTTTGTTGCACTAGAGATGCTTTGTGTCATGTATAGGTATCAGCATGAAAGAGTTATAAAGACAAGAACTGAAGTTTTATTCAACAACTAATGCATTTTTTCCTTGAACAACTTGGTCTGGAAACAAATTGTTCGATATTGGAGATTTTTGAGATTTGGGGTTTGGGTCTCTTACCTTTCCTGTAGTAAAAGACCTGCCTCTTTCTTTTTCTCTCATTTTGTTCATTCCTTTTCACTGATAGTTCACCACATGTAAAAATCACACCATACCAATGTAAGTTTAAAACCTCCAGTTTCTTCAATAAAAAATGTTAACCTGTTAACTGAGCGGGCCTTATAAATACGTCAAACGTAAACAACATCGAGAACGGGGAGGACATATGAATACATCCTGGAAATATATGTTGCGCCCTGAGAGGGACGGTATATATATTTTGTAATCTTTATAATTGTTTGTAAAATTTATAATTTTTTAATTCGATGTTTCCATTTTTTTGTTGGTATTCTTTTCTATTTTTTTTTTGTAATTTTGTATTTTCCTTTGTGCTTTATATATAAATAAATGAAAAAAATATATATCATTTATTTTAATTAAGTATAAATTTAAAAAATAATAATAATATGAAATTACATCCTCTGGGCGTAACGTACTGACACGTCCTAGTGAAAGAGTAAACGCCCTTTACAGGTTGCGTAATTAAAAAGGGAACTCCCCGGTTAACAGGTTAATAATAAGGAAAACTGGATATGGTGGATATGGGTATTATCATCAAGATTTCTCTGTAAATCTAAAACTATTCTAAAATAAAACACCTATTAAAACAACACACAAAATACTAGGTAATGATAATAGCTGGGGAGGAGTAGAATGAACCACTGAATGGACAGAGGGGGGTATGAGAACTGGCTTGAAACACCCTCTCCCTCCATGTGCTGGACAATAATTGAACTAGAGAAAATGAAGAAGTAAGAGGTCAGTTTGGGAAATATTTTAGGAGATATTGAGGAAACTCCCCTTTCTCTATCTAGAGCATCTGAGTCCTCTGCATCCTCTTCTCCCCCTCCCCCATGGATGGTCAAGCTGAGGCTTTGTGATGTCAGGCTACACCATGGCAACCACTGACTTGGCCAATTAGAGTTGAAGGGTGGCTCCTCATTGTTCTGGAGAGTATATATAGAGGTCAGGAGCCCTGAATTAGGGCACAGTCTCTACAACAAAGGCAAGGTTACTAAGAAAATACCAAAGCTTAGTTTAGATACTGGATTACAGACTCCAACTGCAAGGATGGGCCAACAACCTTCAAGTAGTGAAGATAATAAGGTATCAGTTTCTGAAGTTGATGACGAAGACAAGGATAAGGTGAGAATACCCTACTCATATGACTCCTCTTCTTCCCTATTGATTCCCCACCACAGACTCTGACCCTGCCCTTGTGTAGCACAAACACCTCCTCAATCAATCCACTGCCATTCTATTATAATCTCACTTTCCACACATTTCCCAATTTCTTTCCCCAAACCAATTTCTTCATGGGTTTCTTTTGTTTCCCCACTAGATAATGAATATATTGGGAAATGAAAATTCAGTCCTTCAATCGAACGAACAAAATGAGAGAAAAAGAAAGAGGCAGGTATTTGTATTTTACTACAGGAAAGGTAAGAGACCCAAAATAGATCAGCCAACTGAGGATGACGAGGATGAGGGGGACTATGAGGATGAGAACGACGAAGAAATTAATGATGAAGGAGAAGGAGGGGATGGAGTAGAAGGAGGAGGAGGAGAAGAAGAAGAAGAAGAAGAAGAAGAAGAAGAAGAAGAAGACGACGAAGAAGAAGAACAACAAGAAGGAGAAGAAGAAGCAGATGAAGAACAAGAAGGAGATGAAGAAGAAGAAGAAACAGATGAAGAACAAGAAGGAGAAGAAGAAGCAGATGATGAAGAAGAAGGAGATGATGAAGAAGAAGAAACAGATGAAGAACAAGAAGGAGAAGAAGAAGCAGATGAAGAACAAGAAGGAGATGAAGAAGAAGAAGCAGATGAAGAACAAGAAGGAGAAGGAGAAGGAGATGAAGAACAAGAAGGAGATGAAGAACAAGAAGGAGATGAAGAACAAGAAGAAGAAGATGATTATGATGAAGAAGCAGATGATGTAGATGAAGGAGAAGAAGATGGAGGAGAAGAAGATGAAGAAAATGATAATGATGAAGAAGGAGAAGGAGAAGATTATGATGATGATGAAGAAGACGATGATGAAGAAGGAGAAGATGAAGACAGAGGTGGAGAAATTTATGAAGGAGAAGATGATGAAGATGAAGATGATGGAGATTATGAAGATGATGGAGATGATGGAGATGATGAAAGAGAAGGATCAGGAGAAGGAGATGATGAAGAAGATGATGAAGATGAAGAAGGAGAAAGAGAAGTGGGAGAAGTCAGAGGAGAAGAAGTAGAGGAAGGGGAAGAAGAAGAAGTAGAAGAAGGAGAAGTAGAAGAAGAAGACGATGATGATGAAGAAGGAGAAGCAGGAGAAGAACAAGGACAAGGACAAGGAGATGGAGAAGAAGGAGAAGGAGGAGGAGATGTTGATGAAGAGAGAGTACTACCATAAATGATGCCCAGGTTTTAGCTGAAGAGGAAGACCTTTAAGTATGTGTTGCGTCTCTAGAGAAAATTCTTAAGAACTGATCATTATGTACGTATCAAAACCTAATTGGCGTCTTTGAATAAATACTAGCATATGTATAAAAGAAATGTATTTGTATCTCTGTAATGGGGCAGAAGCAAAGGAGGGGGAAAGTATGTGAAAAGGGAGGGACATAGAATTATTCAAGTTTGGGCACAAGAACAGCCATTCCATAGAGAGCAAGACACTGAGAATAGGACAAGCTGAAGACTGAAGATAATTTTTTTCCTTAATACTTTATCATACTGGCAAGGAAGAAAGGTAGGGGGGATGGGAAACAGGGTGTTATGTGAGGTTGGCAGTGTGTAATAATGAATCTGATTTCCATTTTAGATGTTAGACTTTTGACAGCTTTAAGCCTCATTCCATTCTCTTCCCTGGACAGCCAATATTTGGACAAACTAATAAAAAAGGAATTTCTGATCATAAAAATAGAAACAAATAAGTCTAAACTTAACCATTAGAACTATCGTATTGCCTCAATTTCCAATAGCCAAAACACTTATTATCCTAAAATATTTTGTAGTGCATAATAACAATCTGATTCAATGAGTAATAAAATAAATCTTTTGCCCTTATAACCAGCTTGAGAAAATGTTACCCTGTGACCTTCCTACCTATTTATAAAATTACACCTTTCACTCTTGTTGAAAAAGGACCCAATTTAAGTGAAAACAGGACCTTCACTGGTAGACATCCATTATATAAGACCTAGTTTGAGAAGGTATAATTATCCCTACGGCTTCTGAATTTACCAGCCAATTTAGACTTCCTCATAAATCTGAAAAGCATGATTGGTGCCCCAGTGTGAATTTTCAGACGATTAATGTTATGGTCACACTCATTAGGAATCCATATGTAATATTTTTGAAATTGCTGATTCTACCCAATAAGAAACTGGTAAATAAATAGAATTCATAACAAAGTATTTGACTGACATGTTCTACTCAGTACCTATTTCACCATACAATAGCTATAGTTAACCCACATGTTTAAAGAGACATAATACACTTTTACCTGGGTACTCAGTAGGGTACCTATCCAGTCCTGTTATCTCACATTATCTTTGCAGCCAGTATCTTCACCACATCGAGATTTTTCCAGGTGCACAGGTATGACATCACACTGATGACATCCTCCATTGAGGAGATTCATATGATACACATATTCAGGGCCTAAGAACAAATGAGCTCACAAAGGGAATATCTAGTACCCCTACTCACAAAAAAAGGCCCCACTGCCTAAGTTAAATTTCTGACAATGATTTGTTAATCTGAGGGCTTTTCTAATCCTGAGTATGCCAGGAAACAGCTTTTATCCTCCTAGGTACCCACATTGTAAAAAGAAGCCCACTGTCTTTTGCAGTTTTTATTTTGATTATGGAAGCGACATTCCTAATAAATTTTATTTAATTCCATTAGATATGTTACTTGCAGACTGGCTTACCTCGAATAGGACTCCTTTTAACATAGGGCTCTAAAATCTGTCTAAATTACTCTAGAACAATCAATCCTGATACGGCTTTTTAGAAACTCCTTTATTGTAGAATCTTTAACAACTTTCTCTCATACCTCTTGGAGTCCCTGGACGATTCATGATGGCCATTAGTTGCCAATGGTCTTCTGGTTCAAGAAACTGCCCTTTACAGCCCAATGTTCTATGCCATTAGTATGGCAATTGATGGCCAGATATTGGACTTTGTTAAAAGTAAAGGCAATCTCAGGTCCTATACCTGAATCATGGAGGCACCATTCTGAAAGCTCAGCATGGCTATTGGGCCTCATTGCTACAGAATGATTACTCTGCACACCCTATCTACTGGACAGGGTAAGTTCTCATATGCCCATTCTCTTCCCAGATACCAAAGTACAAGAAAAGTTCATCTTTCTCTTAGAACTCTTGGATACGTGGAGGCATATTGGTATGTACAGGGCCCATATCTAAAGAAGCCCATTCACTTAAGCAATGAGTTTATCACTATCAAAATTAAAAGAACTTATTTGAGAGCTTCTGCTTTTTATCCCTTAACCAGTGTATTCTTGGTAAAGGACAGGACCCAAGGGTCAGTTCAGTTGGCTGAACTTTAGGCAGTCATCTTACCACTGGATGTCTTGGACAACAATTGGTCTCATGGGTACATTTTTATAGCTCTTTGGGCTATAGCCAATGGTCTGACCATCTGGTCTAGTCAATACAAACAATTCCTATCCAAGTTTGGCTTATTTGGGCTAAATATCTCTTGGAATATCTTGCCTCATAGATCCCAAAAGTATAAATGGGCACATATTTCTCTGTATATATTAAAGCCAGACTACAAGGTCTCACATGCCACTCCTTATCCTTTCTGAATTCCACACATCTTTTTAGTGACGAAGGCACTTATTTTACTTCTCTCAGTACATAATGCTGGGCTGTGGAACAATATATTCAATGGAATATTCACCTTTATAACTGGTCTCAGGATTGCAGTGCCATAATTGCTTAAACAAGTCTAAAATAAATTAAATTAACCATGAACTGTTTTATTTATCACTCAAACTTCAGGGGTGAATTGTAATGAATTCTTATGCTATTTTTTTTAGGTACTGTCCTAATATATAAAAACCCTGGGTCCATCACATCCACAACAACGGGGAGGCTTGACCATTCCCCAGGCTGCGAACGTAGCAGGCAAGCGGGCAGAACTGCTGACCTCTCAAAGAAAGAAAGAGGTAGGGCTGATAAGCAGTACCAATGGATGCTGGCAAAGCTGAGAGAGAGAAGCAGACCCCTCTCCCTCACCAGCAGCCAAACCCCTCTCTCTCTCCTAGAGGTCAGCAGTACAGCCGCTGACAGCAGCCTGGGGCTGCTGCTGATCAGCCCAGTCTGTATGATCAGAACTGGAGATAGGCCAGGAGATGAAGACTGGCATAGATACTGACCAATCAGAACCAAATCAGGGTCAACTGTGAGGATCCAATGGCTGCTTAGCAGGTGGAGCTTTCGAGGCTGACTGGCATAGAAACCAACCAATCAGAACCAAATTGGCCAGCAAAGGATGGCAGTTGGGGGCAATATCAGGCCTGCAGGGGAGAGCAGTTGGGGGTGATCAGGCCAGCAGGGAAGGGCAGTTGGGGGCAACCAGGCTGGCAGGGGAGGGCAATTGATGGGGACCAGGTCTGCAGGGGAGGGCAGTTGGGGGCCATCAGGCCAGCAGGGGATGACAGTTGGGAGGGACCAGGCTCATAGGGAGGGCAGTTGAAGGTGACTGGGCTGGCAGCGGAGCAGTTAGGTATTAATTAGGCTGGCAGAGGAGTAGCTAGGGAGTGATAAGATTGGCAGGCAGAAGAGAATAGGGGCAATCAGGCTGGCAAGGAGGCAACTGGTTGGGAGACAGCAGTCCTGGATTGTGAGAGGTATATCCAACTGCCCGTTTGGGCATAACTGGCAGTCAGACATCCCCCAATGGCCCCAGATTGGAGAAGGTGCAGGCTGGGCTGAGGGGCATCCTCCCAATGCATGAATTTCATGCACCAGGCCTCTAGTGGTCAAATAATATTACATGTATTTAAAGTGTACAACCCAATATTTTGTTATATGTATACATTGTGAAATAATCACAAAATCTAATTATCTATCATCAAGCAAAATTAACACTTTCTTACTTTTCTATATATGACTTGTTTAGATGTGTTTCTATTGATTTTTAGAGAGAGAGTAAGGGAGAGAGAGAGATAAAAACATTGATGAAAGAGAAACATGGATAGATCTTGTGAATATCATGCTAAGTGAAATAAGTTACATGGAAAAATACAAAACCATATGCTTTTACTCATATGTGGGATATAAAACAGGAAATAACAAACAAGAAAACAAAATGCTCCGTAGACACAAACTGAGGAAAGGATGAGTAAAGGTGTAAAATAAATGGTTATGGAAGGAGACTTGAAATTGGGTGGTGAAAATGCAATGCAATATGCAGATAATGTATCATAGAATTGTACACTTGAAACTTATATATAATTTTATTGACTAATTTTACATTTAATAAAATTTAATAATAAAAATATAAGAACAAAAATGATTGCACACAGTATATGTGAA